AAAAAAAAAAAAAAAAAAAAAAAAAAAAAAAAAAAAAAAAGGCAGGTTTTGACAGAATTGCTAATTCCAAAGCTGTTACATTTAAGTACCGAGAAAGACTTTTAAGCTAGGCATGGTGCCGCATATCTATAGTCCCAGCTACTGGGGAGGTGGAGGCAGAAGGATTGCTTGAGCCAGGAGTTACTTGGAGGCCAGCCTGGATTATATCATGAGGCTCTATCTCTACCAAAAATAAAAAAAAATAAATTGTCACAAGCAGAGTATATACTTCTCTTACGTATTTACTTAGTATATTTTTGTTTTGTTTTTTTTGTTGTTGTTGTTTTGGTTTCTTGAGACAGAGTCTCACTTCCTCTGTTGCCCAGGCTGGAGTGTAATGGCATGATCTCGGCTCACTTCAACCTCCACCTCCCAGGTTCAAGTGATTCTCCTGCATCAGTCTCTCCAGGAGCTGGAATTAGAGGTGCACTATGACACCTGGCAAATTTTTGTATTTTTTTTTTTAGTAGAGATGCTGTTTTGCGTTATTGGCCAGGCTGGTCTTGAACTCCTGACCTCAGGTGATTTACCCACCTTGGCCTCCCAAAGTGCTGGGATTATAGGCATGAGCCACTGCCCTGGGCCAGTATAATGTTTTGAAATTACCCATTTGAGAGTGGAGACATCTACTAGAATGTGACTGGGACCTGGCACTTGGTTGGTAAAAGACTTTTTGTTTTGCAATCATTGATGACTCAGATAACATCTTGCATAACTATAATTTAATATTTCAGGATTGCTTCATTGTCTTTTGGAAGGGAGAAGGCCTAGGAATGCTAGGAATGGAGGTGACAGATAAGAAAGAAGTTGCCTATGCTGAGTTAAAATACCTTTTTTTTTTTTTTTTTTTTTTGAGGATGGAGTCCCGTTCTGTTACCTGGGCTGGAGTGCAGTGGCACAATCTCGGCTCACTGCAACCTCTGCCTTCTGGGTTCAAGAAATTCTCCTACCTCAGCCTCCTAAGTAGCTGGGATTATAAGCACACTACCACGCCCAGCTACATTTTTGTATTTTTAGTAGAGACGGGGTTTTGCCATGTTGACCAGGCTGGTCTCAAACTCCTGACGACAAGTGATCTGCCTGCCTCGGCCTCCCAAAGTGCTGGGATTACAGGTGTAAGCCACTGTGCCCGGCCATATTAATGGTTTTTGAATCACTTCTTTGCTGGCTTTACCTTGGGTCCTGGAACTTTCTACTTGGCAAAAAACAAAAACAACCTGCTGTAGGAGTTTCCTTTGTGTGTGTGTGTGTGTGTGTGTGTAACAGAGGAAGTAAGACTCTGTCTCCAAAAAAAAAAAAAAAAAAAAAATCCTGTATATGGGGCTCCCATACAGGTTTAGTCGTGGATGAGATTCATGGAAGTCACCTGGGCACAGTGGTTCACACCTGTAATCCCAGCACTTTTGGAGGCTGAGGCAGGTGGATCACTTAAGGTCAGGAGTTCAAGATAAGCCTGGTAAACATGGTAAAACCCCATCTCTACTAAAAATACAAAAATAAAAAGACTCATGGAATCAAACCTTGAAAGAAGAGAGGTAGATATGGAAGAGGAGAAAGTAAGACATAAAGTGGCAGGGCCTAGGGCAGGGGCAGCATTTATACCTTTTCCTAACATGTGACCTTGCTGGGAAAAGAGAGCCCCTCTGGGATGTGGTGGAAAGGCCTTGTTTCCATAAAGAGAGATTTTCTTCAGGATATTTCAATGATCTTGAATAGAAAACCCCCAGATTCAGCCTCATTGTCTGTGTCTTTTGCTAAAAAAACAATTCCGGAGTCTGATGCCTGCTAGTTCTTCAGTGCTTTTTCTACATGCCGTTCCTTCCTGCCTCATTTCAGATCAGATGGTTTTCCTGAAAGCTTGTTTCTTTCTCCCCCTTTTTTCTACACTGTGATCCAGAGAATTAAAATCCATGTACATTTCTGAGACCCAGGACCATGTTCCATATCTACAGCAGATGTATTTTTTCCCAGGGGACTAGGGGGGAAAATGTGGCATTACTGTATAACCCAGGAAGCTAGGTGACATCTGCTCCTAAAATGAAGCAGGGTAGCTTTTAAGGTTTCCTAAATAATGCTATACAGAATTCAGCCAGAGAGCCAGATCCCTTGTGGCTTTTTATCTCAAATGGCATGTAAAATACAATACTACATAGGAGTAGTCTTTTTTAGGTCAGGATAAAGTTCTAGTGCCTGGACTCAAGTTTAACTCTTTGCCTTCCTGAGTCATGTGGTGAACTTCTTGATACACTGGTAGTCCCAGGTACTCAGGAGGCTGAGGCGGGAGGTTTGCTTGAACCTAGGAATCGGAGGCTACAGTGAGCTATGATCACACCACTGTACTTCAGCCTGAGTGACAGACCAGACTCATCTCTTAAAAAACAAAAAAAGATGAGGCTGGGCACATGACTCACATATGTAATCCCAGCTTGTTAGGAGGCTGAGGCAGGAGCACTGCTTGAGTCCAGTTCAAAATCAACCTGGCAACACAGTGAGACCCCCAATCTCTACAGAAAACACAAAAATTAGTTGGGTGTGGTGGTGCATGCCTGTAGTCCTAGCTAGTCCAGAGGCTGAGAAGGAAGGACCACTTGAACCCTGGAGGTTGAGGCTACAGCAAGCCATGATCATGCCACTGTACTTGGCCTGGGTGATAGAGTAAGACACTGTCTCAAAAAAAAAATTTTTTTAATAAAAAATGAGCCTGATCACAGAGCAGTGAAAAGACAGAAGACAATTCCAAACATTTAACGCAATGTTTTTCTGATGTTTCAGGAGTGGATTAGAACAAGATGACATGAGAATTTTATACAAATACCTTACCACCTCTCTTTTTCCAAGACACATCGAACCTGAGGTATGATGGGAACTACAGCTGTACACACTCAAATCTAGGGGCACAAGGAGGGTGGGTGGAGTAAGATGGTGGTGCATGGGGGCATTTCTTATGTATATTTTGTGTTAGTGTGATATTTATGTCATTGTGTATCAATTAGTAGCACAGAAAACCATATGCAGCTCTCCTCCAGTGTATTACATTCAGATACAACACAGCATGTTTTTAAGAGGAGTGAATCATTGAGTAGAGGAAAAATTGGACTTTATTTTATTTATTTTATTTTTTTGAGATAGTCTCGCTCTGTCACCCAGGCTAGAGTGCAGTGGTATGATCTTGGCTCACTGCAACCTCCACCTCCCGGGTTCAAGCGATTCTCCTGCCTCAGCTTCCCAAGTACCTGGGACTACAGGCACGCACCACCACATCCAGCTAATTTTTGTATTTTTTAGTAGAGATGGGGTTTCATTATATGTTGGCCAGGCTGGTCTTTGAACTCCTGACCTCAAGTGATCTGCCCACCTCAGCCTCCCAAAGTGCTGGGATCACAGGCATGAGCCACCACACCCAACACTATTTTTTTTTTTTTTTTTTCTTCCTTGAGACAGAGTTTCCTCCTTACTGCTCAGGCTGGAGTGCAGTGGTGTGATCTCAGCTCACTGCAACCTCCATCTCCAGGATTCAAGCGATTCTCCTGCCTCAGCTTCCCAGTAGCTGGGGTTACAGGTGCCTGCCACCATGCCCAGCTAATTTTTGTATTTTTAGTAGAGAGGAGTTTCACCATGTTGGCCAGGCTGGTCTCTAACTCCTGACCTCACGTGATCCGCCTTCCTGGGCCTCCCAAAGTGCTGGGATTACAGGCGTGAGCTACCGCTCCTGGCCGAAAAATTGGATTTTAGATAGGGTTCTAGGAACTTTTAAAATGCCAGTGGTCTGGCCGGGCCTGGTGGCTCATGGCTGTAATTTCAACACTTTTAGAGGCCAAGTGGGGGCGGAGCATGAGGTCAGGAGCTTGAGACCAGTCTGACCAACATGGTGAGACCCTGTCTCTACTAAAAATACAAAAATTAGCCAGCCCTGGTGGTGTGCTCCTGTAATCCGAGCTACTCAGGAAGCTGAGGCAGGAGAATCATTTGAACCGGGGAGGCGGAGGTTGCAGTGAGCCAGGATCGCACCATTGCATTCCAGTCTAGGCGACAGAGTGAGACTCTGTCTTAAAAAAAAAAAAAAAAAAAATGCCAGTGGTCTTTAAAACAATGGACCTACGTAGTCTTTTCCTCTGTCAACGTGAGATGTAATTTTGAATAGATGTTTTATTGCATGCCTGGCTTTCCACTCTAGTACTTAATTTCCCAGTTTCCTGCAGAGAACTGTTAAATGATATCACAAGTGTTCTCCCCAAGTGTCTTCGTAGCTTAACATACATACATCATCATTTTGGCTCAGTTGAATTCTCTTTGTTTTTGTTTGTGTATTCCCTCCCTCTTGTCCTCCCTCTCTCCAATTTTTTTTTTTTTTTTTTAAGAGACGAGGTCTCACTATGTTCACCTGGCTGGTCTCAAACTCCTGGGCTCACATGGTTCTCCCACCTCAGCCTCCCAAGTAGCTGAGACTACAGGTGCACACCACCATACCTGGGTAATTTTTTGTAGAGATGGGATCTCACCATGTTGCCCAGGCTGGCCTCAAACTTCTGGGCTCAAGCAGTCTACCTGACTTCACCTCCCAAAGTACTGGGATTATAGGCGTGAGCTGCCTCGCCTGGCCAAAAATTTAAAAAGTAGCCAGGTGTTATCACATGTGCCTGTATCGGGATGCTGAGGTGGGAGGATTGCTTGAGCCTAGAAGCTTGAGGCTATAGTGAGCCATGATCATGCCACACTGCATTCCAGCCTGGGCAACAGGACAAGATCCTGTCTCTAAAAGAAAAAGACAAATGACATGGAACCAATTAGTAGATAATGAATGCTGTTTTTCAAAGCTTGGAAAATAAAAGTCTAATACATCATTCTCAACATTAAATTTATTTGCAGTTAGCAGGAAGGGATTCTCCAATAAGAGCAGAAATGCCAGGAAATCTTCAACACTATGGAAGGTAGGACTTTAGTTCTTTGATTTAAGATACTGGGTTTTATTATCTTTTTTTTTTTTTTTTTTTTTTTTTCTCACTCAGTCTGGCTTATTACCCAGGCTGGAGTGCAATGGCATGATCTCGTCTCACTGCAACCTCTGCCTCCCAGGCTGAAGTGATTCTCATGCCTCAGCCTCCCAAGTAGCTGGGATTACAGGCCCAAGCCACTATGCCTAGCTAATTTTTTTTTGTATTTTTAGTAGAGACAGAGTTTCATCATATTGGCCAGGCTGCTCTTGAACTCCTGACTTCAAGTGATCCACCTGCCTCAGCCTCCCAAAGTGCTGGGATTACAGGCTCGAGCCACCCTGCCCAGCCCCTATTATCTTTTTGGTAAAGATAATGTCATGGACATTGAAATATCTTTGTGCCCTCTGATTGACAATAATCAACAAAGGAAAGTTTATTGTTTCCAATGAGTTAAAACTTACTTTAGCATATCTTTTTTTTTTTTTTTTTTGTCCATGAGACATTTTATTTGTAAATATATGTATTAAATCCCTAGAAAAAGAATCCCAGGATTTTCCCTCCTGTGTGTTTTTGTCTTGCTTCTTCATGGTCCACGATGCCAGCTGAGGTTGTCAGTACAATGAAACCAAACTGGCGGGACGGAAGCAGATTATTCTGCCATCTTTGAGTTGCACATCAAATCTGGGGCCGATCACTCCACACCTGCTTAGCCTGCCTGTGAAATTCACAACAATTTTCCCAGCTCTGTGATCATCAATGATTTCAAATTCGCCAACATAACCGTGCTTCATCATCACAGTGAGAAACCGGACGATGACTTTGGAGCACGGCCTATTAAGCACCTGGCGTTTGCCTCTCTTTTCGGGATTGTTGATGCTCTTGAGAGCATCAGCCAGGACATTCGTGCGCACCATTGTGGCAGCACAGAAAGAGGACCTCTTTTTTTTTTTTTTTTTTTTTTGGCAGAGTGTCTCTGTCACCTAGGTTGGAATGATCTCAGCTCACTGCAGCCTCCACCTCCTGGGTTCAAGCAATTCTCCTGCCTCAGACTCCCAAGTAGCTGGGATTGCTGCCACCTTGCCTGGCTAATTTTTGTATTTTTAGTAGAGACGGGTTTTCGCCATGTTTGCCAGGCTGGTCTTGAACTCCTGACCTCTGGTGATCTGCCCACCTCAGCCTCCCAAAGTGCTGGGATTACAGGTGTAAGCCACCGTGCCCGGCCAGCATATTCTGGTACAGTGTTTTCCAAATAAAACTGGTGTATATAACAGCTGCCTCTTTGAGGCAGCTGGTGTTGAAAGCAACTCGTGTATATTAAGTAGGAGTGTGTTCTGCTTCTAGATTCCTCTTTCTATTTCACCTCATTGAATCAAGTCATGTCTGTTCTTGCTTTTAAGATTTCTTACCGGACCCTTGAACCTTAATGATCCAGATGCAAAATGCAGATTCCCCAAAATTTTTGTAAATACAGATGACACTTATGAAGAGCTCCATTTAATTGTTTACAAGGTAACAACTATTTTTCCCTCCCATATTACTCATTAACACTGAAGTCAATCTTTCTTGCATGTGTATATTAGTACATATGCAAGCCTCTTAAATGTTTCTTGGAAAAGATGTTGGAAGTTCTGTTGATGGTAAAACTCAAAATGGGTGCTCTTCTGGAGTAATAAGTTCATTAAACAGTTTTGTCATTAGTGAAAGAGGAACTGTTTAAGATTGTGATTCATAAACGTGTGAAGTCCCACATGCTCTCAAACCAGAGGCTGTCAGAGGTCGGTGCTGTCTCAATATGCCTCGGGATCGGGGCTGTGGCCATGCATCTGTGCATGCTGCTTTTGCTGATTTTAAGGCTGTGGGCTTGGTAATTCCATAAGGAGCGTATTTCGTGTCAGTACATCGTCTTGTAAGGATATGTGCTCAGGTTGTGTTTCTAATTAAAGGCAGTTTTCAGTTCAAGAAAGAAGAGGGAGTATGCACATGTGTTTCTCTTCTTTTCTGCCTGAGGCTGTGGAGAAGTTTTCATTCATAAAGGCTCAGATATGACGCTGTGGGAGAACAGGAAGGAGCGGGATGTCTCAGGATGAGGGAGTCCTGTCCCTCTCTGGAAGGTAGAAGGGATTTGTAAGCAGAGATAGAGGGCAGTGTTGGAGCAGGCCTGGAATAAGAGCGGCAACCCTGTGCTAAGGCAAGGACCCACCTTTAATTGTATATTGAAATGGGCCAGATGCAGTCCCAGTACTTTGGGAGGCCCAGGTGGGAGGATCACTTGAGGCCAGGAGTTGGAGGCCAGCCTAGGCAACATAGTAAGACCCTGTGTCTACAGAAAAATCTTTAAAAATTAGCCAGGCTTGGTGGTACTTGTCCTGGCTACAGGAAGCCAAGGCAGGAGAACCACTTGAGTCCAAGAGTTGGAGGCTACAGTGAGCTATGATCACACCATTGCATTCTAGCCTGGGTGACAGAGTGAAACCCTGTCTCAAAAATAATGAAACTACTATCAACAGTTTCATATCCAGTACCAGATACTAAGTGACAATGGAAGAGAGACTTTCACAGTTCGAGAGAAAATGAATTTGAGCATAGAGTTCTTTGCCACACCAAGCTGTCAACCACAGATGAGACAAAAGAAAGACACATTAGGCCAGGCACTGTGCCTCACACCTGTAATCCCAGTACTTCGGGAGGCTGAGGTGGGCAGATCACCTGAGGTCAGGAGTTCAAGATGAGCCTGGCCAAATTGGGGAAACCCTGTCTCTACTAAAAATACAAAAACTTAGGTGGGCATAGTGGCACATGCCTGTAATTCCAGCTACTCCGGAGGCTGAGGCAGGAGAATCATTTGTACTTGGGAGGCAGAGGCTGCGGTGAAAGACACATTAAACATGAAAAGCCTCAGAAAGTTTACCCTCAGGCACCCCTTCTCAGGGTGTTACATGGGGTCATCCGTCAGCAGAATAAGTGAGCAAACCAAGAAAGAGAACACTTGGGAATCCAGAACAGTGGTTCTCACGCATGAGACAGTATAAGGAAGTCTCGGGGTGATCAGGCTCTTAAAGTCTGCTGGCTGCACCCCATTTCCAGTACCTCCATGACAGAGCAGGAGAAGGAAGGGCTCTAGGGTTTAAGCCGCCAGAATAAAAAGATGTTTTGTTTATCACATGGCATGCTTGAGAGAGTCTATTAGAGTTGGCCTGTGATAGACTAGCTGGGAAGGGAAGATTCCAGGGAGAGCGTACAGAAAGACATGGTCTGAAAATGAGCAAGCCAAAATTTGGAGGCGTAATTCAGAGCAGGAATTAAGAGTAGAAAGAATGTCCATTTGTGTATCAAGCCAAAATTCGAGACCCCATCTCAAGAAAAAAATCATTCTCCTTTGAATGACCTAGGTAATGACTTTGAAATCTCCATAAGCCTGGTGTAATATTTTTATTGCATTTCTGTTTTTAGAGTCAGCCTATTGACATAATTTGGGGTGTGATAATGGGATTGTGGTTATGTTAAAGGGTCCTTTTTCTTAATGACTTCATTGAGATACAATGCACAGACCATACAACTCGCCCTTGTACACTTAAAATGTACAATTCAATGATTTCTAGTTGCAGAGTTCATGAGTCTCCAAGACCATCCTCACTTTTGACAGCAGCTGAGAGTTTGGGAGTCCCCATGACCACCTTTAGGGTAATAGCTCACTAGAAGCACTATAGGACTCAGAAAAGGCTTTATACAGCAGTATCCCCAAGCCAAAACCCCTAGTGGGCGCCTGAAACCAGGGAAGGTAGCAAACCCTTCACATACTGTGTTTTTTCCTGTACATTCATGCCTATGATAATGTGTAATTTATAAATTCAGTACAGTAAGAGATTAATAACTATAAAGCCAGGCATGGTGGCTTACACCTGTAATCCCAGCACTTTGGGAGGCCAAGGCAGGCAGATCACTTGAGGCCAGGAACTTCAGACCAGCCTGGCTAATATGGTGAAACCCCGCCTCTACTAAAATTACAAAAATTAGCCAGGCATGGTGGCACACACGTGTAATCCAAGTTACTCAGGAGGCTGAAGCAGGAGAATCGCTTGAACCTGGGAGGTGGAGGTTGCAGTGAGCCAAGATCGTGCCATTGTACTCTAGCCTGGGCAACAGAGTGAGACCCCATCTTTAAAAAAGTAATAGTAATAATAATAGGACAGTAAGAATATACTGCAATAAAGTAATATGAATGTGGTTTGCTTCCCCCCACCTCAATATTTTATTATTCTTTCCCTTACATAACTGAAACCATGGGAAGCAAAACCAGGGATAAGGAAGAATGACTGTACTCACAGTTGCGGTTTATTACAGTAAAGAAGGCAGGTTAAAATCTGCCCAGGGAAGAGGCACATGGGGCAGGGTCCAGGAGCCACCAGGTGTAAGCTGCCAGCTGTCCTTTCCCATTGGGGTCATGTAGACAGTACAGTGCCTGTTTCTCCAGTGAGGATGTGTGTGTGGCAGTCTCTGGGGTGGTGCCATCCAGGGAAGCTCACCTGACCCTCGAGATCCAGAGATTTTATGGGGGACTGGTCACAGAGACACAGCTGGCCCTATGTGGCTAGCCTTAGTCTCCAGCCCTCCAGAGGTGGAGCGGGTGCTGTAATGGGCTTGGGGCTGTGAGGGATATTAGCCTGTAATTTTGTTTTCTTGTGATTTGTCTGGGCAATGCTGGCTTGATAGAATGTGTTGGGAAGTGTGCCCTCCTATTATTTTGTAAGACTGTGAAGAATTGGTGTTAATTCCTCTTTACATGTTCGGTAGAATTCACAGGCAAGCTGTCTGCACCTAGGCTTTTCTTTGTGGGAAGTTTTTAAGTTAACCGTTTATGCCTCGTGTGCCATTACTGGAATGCTGAGCTTGTGAGATTTACTTATATCCTACTGCTAAAGGTCATCACCTAGGTCTGATTTTTCACAAAAAAGATTTGCAGCCTCTAGCATAAGTGGGTTAATCTCTTCACTTGATGCAGGTTTATTTTGATTTTCTGTTTCTTCTTGAGTCAGCTGTGGTAGTTTGTGTCTTTCTAGGAATTTGTCAGCTTCAATTAAGTTACTCAATGTGTTAGCATGCAGTTTTTCATGGTATTATTACAGGTAAAGCCAATACTTTTTCATTTCTCATGTAAAGTCAGTAGTTTGTTGGCATGCAGTTTTTCATGGTGTTATTATAGGTAAAGCTGGATACTCCTTCGTTTTTACTGTAAAGTATCTTTCATTCCTGGTTTTAGTAATTTGAGTCTTCTCTGTTTCTTGGTCTATAGTCTAGCTAAAGGTTCTTTATGCTTCTGAAATCATCACATAAAAAAAAGGAAAGTTTTTCAATCTTGGTCTTTTGGTTTCATTTATTCTCTCATTTTTCTCTGTTTAGTTTGTTTCTGCTCTCATCTTTTATTATGTCCTTCCATTTGCTTTAGGTTTGTTTTTTGTTTTGTTTTTGAGATGGAGTCTCGCTCTGTCACGCAGGCTGGAGTCCAGTGGCACGATCTCAGCTCACTGCAACCTCTGCCTCCCAGGTTCATGCAGTTCTCTTGCCTCAGCCTCCTGAGTAGCTGGGATTACAGCACAAACCACCATGCCTGGCTTTTTTTTTTTTTAATAGAGACGGGATTTCCCCATGTTAGCCAGGCTGGTCTCAAACTTCTGACCTCAGGTGATCCACCACACCTGGCCCCATTTGCTTTAGGTTTAGTTTACTCCTCCTTTTTTCCAGGATATTAAGACGAAAGGTCAGGTCACTGATTTGAGATCTTTCTTCTCTTACTGTGAGACAGGAGCTCGCGCTTGGAAGTGGGAAGAGGTACAGGGGCAAGTAGGAATGTGAATTCAGGAGCGGAGGCTTGTGGATGGTAGAATGCAGTCAGTGTAGGAAGTAGAATATGGTTATAAACTATAGGGGAGGGTTGGGGGAAGTCAGATAAGGGGTCATACCCATCATGACATGAGCAGGAAGTCAATTTGATGTCCATAGAGGATATGTTAAAGAGTTAGGATAACCCTGTTGTCTAATAACAGTTTAAAGTGGTTGCCAGGGAGCAGGGCTCAGAGAAGAAAGTCTGTGGCTTTCATCCTCAGGCTTGATGTTCTGTTCAACCTTTTTTAACCATACGTTGCTTTGATCAATTTTAATTTTAAACGTTTTTGGTTATCTGTGGTCTTGGTTGTTGTAAGCTGCTATTATTTGTCATAACTGCAATTATTTGCTATAATAAAGTGAGACAAGATACCCATTTGCTGTCTTTTTAAACTTGTGTCAGTGGAAACTGTCACAGGATTGACAGTTTCTGCTAATCCTCTATTCTCTCTGGCATAGACACAGACTAGAACAATGAACCCCTAACTCCCCATCACACAAGTTAATGAATAAGATTCTGATCTTCAATGTGTCACCTCTCCACGTTGTGTTTTTGGTTTGCAAGAGCATTTTAAGTCATCACACCAGTTCACTCATGACCACTTCCCTGTGCCTGATGAGGATGTCTGCGGTAACGTCCCCACAGGCACCGTCACACCTGAGAAGGTGACCAGCACTCCCCAAGCATCATGGAATGGGCTGTGTCCAGATGGCTCTAGTTGACTAAAAAGCATCCGTTTACAGTTGATTTGTTCCAACTTTGAACAGATGGTTATTCTATGAAAGTCTCCTTTTTTCTACCATTTCATAACCTCTGGTTTGTTCTCTCTTCCCAGGCCATGAGTGCAGCTGTGTGCTTTATGATCGATGGTGGGTACATGCTGTGTCTGATTCTAGCCTGACTAGCTCAGCTTTTTGCACTTTGCTGTGTTCTGTTGTTAAATGATAAATATTTTGGGGGGTTTCATTCTTGGAGTGCAGTGGCATGATCATGGCTCACTGCAGCCTCAACCTCCTGGGTTCAAGTGATCTTCCCACCTGGGCCTTCCAAGTAGCTGGGACTCCCGGCACACACTGCCGCACCCAGCTAATTCTTTGTTGTTTGTTTGTTTAGACAGGGTCTCACTATGATGCCCAGGCTGGTGTCAAACTCCTGGGCTCAAGCAATCCTCCTACCTTAGCCTCCCAAAGTGCTGAGATTCAGGCGTGAGCCCCCACACCCAGCCCCATTAAATGGTAAATGTGTTGTCATAAGCAACATAGAGGTACAGAGAGGAGCCTTGTTCCCCATCTGGGACCCCTGTGTCCCCTTCATTAGCCATTGCCCATATTTTTTTAGTCCTAGTCTTCCCATTTGCCAACAGTAGAATGTGGGCATCTTTCTGTGCCTCCCTGACTCCAAGCTGGGGACAGCAGCGGTACCTATCTCATAGGGGGCTCTGAGGATGGAATGAGGTCATGTGTATGAAGCACCAAACCGCATCTGGCCTGTGAGTGCTATGTAATATGTGTTAAATGGTCATCTGACCTGAGGTCTTCCTGGGGTAGGCAACAAGTTTACCCCCCAACAGGGTATGCCTCAGTCAACTTTTCACAGTGACTTAAGTCTCTGCCTCTTTTTCATCTTAAATGTAACCTGTTTTATATCCTCTCTTTCTCTATTTGAGGAGCAGAGGGGGCCTGAGTATGTAACTGTTTGCTTTCCCAGATGAAGTTTTCATTTGAATACTGTTGTTAAGCGTGGGACATGAAAATGAATCTTACTTACTGGTATTTTTTGTAATTCCTCGCCAGCCTCGATCCAGCCAACATTGGATTTTTGCCGAAGACTGGACAGCATCGTTGGGCCCCAGCTCACAGTGCTGGCCTCTGACATCTGTGAGCAGTTTAACATCAACAAGAGAATGTCTGGGTTTGTACTTTGCTTTCTGTTCACTGTCAGGCCTAGAACTGCTTTTAGAATACATATAGTTTTTACTTAGAAATATGGGTGGTATTCACAGCCCTGTGTTCCCGTGTAATCTAGAGAACAGTGAGACGTGCCATTCCAGTCTGTCTGAAGCGGTCCTAGGGAAACTGACCTGAGCTTTTCTGCCTCACAGTGGCAGCTGGGGCTGTGTATTCTGTTAAATACCTTCCCTCAGCTCACCCCGATTGGAAAGTCTCATTTCATCAGCCCAGACTGTTACATTCAAATGGGCATCAGCATGGTTTTGGTGTGCACAGACTAAAAGCATTTTGACTCTGGTTGTGTGAAGAAAGGGAGGGGAAACTGGCTGGGATGTTGGGGCATTGGGTGTGGGTCCTCAGTCTGGCAGTCTGAAGGGTCTAGACTGAGTGGGAAATGCAGGATTCACTCCTCTGATTCTCTGAACACTGAAATGTCATTGAATTCTGTCTCCCCCCCACTTTTTTTTTTTTTTTTTTTTTTTTTTTTTTTTTTTTTTTTTTGGAGACAAAGTCACTCTGTTGCCCAGGCCGGAGTGTGCAGTGGCACAATCTCAGCTCACTGCAGCCTCCACCTCCTGGGTTCCAGCAATTCTCATGCCTCACCCTCCCGAGTAGCTGGGATTACAGGCTTGCACCACCATGCCCGGCTAATTTTTGTATTTTTAGTAGAGACAGGGTTTCACCATGTTGACCAGGCTGGTCTCCAACTCCTAACCTTAAGTGATCCACCACCTCAGCCACCCAAAGTGCTGGGATTACAGGCATGAGCCACCGTGCCTGGCCCTCCCTGTCTTTTCTCAATATAAAATAGAGTTAACGTGAGGAGATGGAAAGCACTTTGTGAAGTTACAGTCCTGCTTTTAAATGTACTCTGGATACATTTGAGAAATGGTTAAAATGCTGTGGATTTCTGCATCAGCTCATGTTTTCAGTGTTCATATGTTATTTCTATATGGTCTTACGTAAGTGTGGGCCTTTAAGAGTGCAGAAGCAAGCAAAGGTGAAAGCACTTCTAGATTTTGTACAACGGTGTGTGGATTGCTGCTGTCAACAGTTTATATCTTTGTTGAGTTTTTTGTTGTTTTTGGTTTTTGAAACGGAGTTTCGCTTTTTCACCCAGGGAGGCTGGAGTGCAGTGGCTCAATCTCAGCTCACTACAACCTCCATCCCCAGGGTTAAAGCAATTCTGCCTCAGCCTCTGGAGTAGCTAGGATTACAGGCACATGCCACCATGCCCAGCTCATTTTTGTATTTTTAGTAGAGACGGGGTTTTGCCAGGTCTGCCAGGCTAGTCTTGAACTCCTGACCTCAGGTGATCCACTCAGCTTGGCCTCCCAAAGTGCTAGGATTACAGGCGTGTGCCACCATGCCCAGCCAACAGCTTACATCCTGACAGTACTGCTGAATCATTGAACCCTTTGGCCATGAAAATGCCAGGTTTTCCTCTGTGAAGGAGGCATAAGTGAGGTAAGTCGGTTTGGATCACGCAGGTTATGAACTAACAGATGGAAAGTGATAAAGTGTAGTGACCATAAAGAACGTGTCACTTGTTTTTTGGGTGTTTTTGTTTGAGACAGGGTCTCACACTGTCACCCAGGCTGGAGTGCAGTGGTGCAATCATGGCTCTCTGCAGCCTTGACCTCCCCGGCTCAAGTGATCCTCCCACCTCAGCCTCCTGGGGAGCTACGACTACAGGCATGCATTAGCATGCCTGGCTAATTTTTGGTAGAGACAGGGTTTTGCCATGTTGCCCAGGCTGATCTTGAACTACTGAGCTCAGGCGATCTTCCCTCCTTGGCCTCCCAGAGTGCTGGGATGATAGGTGTGAACCACCACTCCTGGCCCCACATAGTGTTTTGAAGATAGAACCTTGTCCCTGATTTAAGAAGTTCCTTGTCTACCCAAACTACTAAATTTGCAATTCTTTCCAAACCTTTTAAAATCTTCCTCTTTCCAGTTTTTGTTGTCATTATGCTTTCCTTAGCCTTAGGACCTACTAAAAACGATTTCTGGTTTTATAAGAAGTTTCTTCTCATGTTCCTGGAAACTAAATCCTCCACGTTCTTTCTCTGCCTAGATGTAGAGTATTTCAGTAGTGCCCCACTTGTCCAGAGGTCGGATTTCCGGCACCCCCAGCCCTCCAGAACATGGCCGCTAACCCCAAAGTAAGCAGAGGAGGCTTCTGAGCCCAGGGGCGGGGCTGCACTCAGGCTGCAGCCCAGGCCCCAGGGTGTGCACTGAGGGCACAGCAAGGGGAGGTGAGGGAGGTGCCCTGGGAGCAGCAAGGCCCCACTTTTCCCGCTAGGTCCTGGAGGAGGTCGCAGACTCTGACCTGGGTGGCAATGTCGTGGCATTGCCCTGTCAGTTCAAGAAATAAAAAGGTATATTCCACTTAAAATGTCCATTAGACTACAGTGGAAAAGGTGACTTCAATAACAGTGATTTCCCCTGGGGATGATGAAAAGCTTTTTGTTAACGTATTGTCCTACGCTTCGGTCATAAGGCAGGTTAATTTCCATGGGACACGCCGTTCATTCCCCCAGTACTGGGGGAGGAATGACATGTTACTCTCCTAAATCAGGGTCGGCAGACTTGATAAGTATTTCAGACGTGATGGGCTGTATGTAGATACATATGTTACAGCTACTCAACTATCATTTTGGCGGGAAAGCAGACAGCACATAATAGTGTGGATATGGCAATGTTCCAGTGAAACTTTGTTTAGAAAAAGAGGGCCAGATGTGTCCCCACGGTCATAGTTTGCTGACCCCTCCACTTGGGAACAAAGGCCTATATTGATTTCATTTGCATTTTTAAAAAAGTGAACCAATAACTAAGTGACTGCTATTTATAAAACAGCAGTTTTATAAATATTTTTGGTGTTTAAAAAATATAAGCTCTTTGGAAAATTCTGTTTTATGGAATACCTCCCCCCTCCATGCTGCTATCAAATAAGTTACTGTGGAATGAAGAGCCTGTACCATGTTCACTAACTGAGATTCTTGAAGATCCAGCCATTGAAAATACAAGGTTTCAGCTGTACGTGTTTTAAGAATCTAGTTGTAGGCTGAGCGCCGTGGCTCACGCCTATAATCCCAACACTTTGGGAGGCCGAGGCAGGTGGATCACACCTGAGGTCAGGAGTTCGAGACCAGCCTGGCAAACATGGGGAAACCCCGTCTCTACTAAAAATATAAAAAAATTAGTTGGGTGTGGTGGTGGGTGCCTGTAATCCCAGCTACTCAGGAACTGAGGCAGGAGAAATCACTTGAACCCGGGAAGCAGAGGTTATAGTGAGCCGAGGTCACACCACCACACTCCAGCCCTGGTGAGAGAGAGATACACCATCTAAAAAAAAAAGAATGTAGTTGTATCATTTGGATCCATCCTTCTGTTGTGTTACTGTTTTCATGACATATTTTTACAGGTCTGAGAAAGAACCCCAGTTTAAGTTTATCTACTTCAACCACATGAATCTCGCCGAGAAGAGCACAGTTCACATGAGGAAAACGCCCAGTGTGTCACTCACTTCCGTGCACCCGGACTTAATGAAGATTCTCGGTGACATCAACAGTGACTTTACCAGGTGATTCCAGCAACTTCTCCAATCAGGTGTCCCCTTTCTAAGAGAAAAGACATGGAAGTTCCTTCAAAGCCAGATGATCCAGAGCCCTTTCCATGGGGCTCAGCTTGAACCACCTTTATGAGCGCCACTTCCAGACAGACCTGGGAGCCCTGAAGTCACTGGTTCCCTCGAATAGGACCCCCTGAGCTTTTTAAATGCCTCAGGCGCCCGTTCCGTTCCCTGTTCTTGTTTTGGAGTGCTTACTTTCACAGTCTAGCCATATGAGTGATAAACAATTGCATTTTGAAACTCTCATCTTGCAGAGTGGATGAAGATGAGGAGATCATCGTGAAAGCCATGAGTGATTACTGGGTGGTTGGAAAGAAGTCTGATCGACGGGAGCTCTATGTTATTTTGAATCAAAAAAATGCAAACCTGATTGAAGTAAATGGTAAGTAGGATTTGGTATTTTGGAAGAATTTTATGCTGCAATTTAAAAGCTGTCTTTTTACTGCATTAAGAAACATCATAGCCGGGCGCGGTGGCTCAAGCCTGTAATCCCAGCACTTTGGGAGGCCGAGGCGGGTGGATCACGAGGTCAAGAGATTGAGACCATCCTGGTCAACATGGTGAAACCCCGTCTCTACTAAAACTACAAAAAATTAGCTGGGCATGGTGGTGCGTGCCTGTAATCCCAGCTACTCAGGAGGCTGAGGCAGGAGAATTGCCTGAACCCAGGAGGCGGAGGTTGCGGTGAGCCGAGATCGCGCCATTGCACTCCAGTCTGGGTAACAAGAGCGAAACTCCGTCTCAAAAAAAAAAAAAAGAAACATCATTAAAAAAACATAAATAGAACAAATCATGACTGTTGAGATTCTAATCAAGTGCCTCTACTTCATTCATCCATTTTCTGTTCCTTGGGAAACTGTGACTAGACTTTCCTGTAGCACAGGAAACTGGACAGTGGCCAAAAGATTTCCTACAATGCTAAAAGAAAAAGATAAGGTGACTTTACTGTGTATTAAAAAAATGTCCCTTTTTTTGGAGACAGGGTTTCTGTCAGGCAGTCCAGCCTTTAACTCCTAGGCTCAAGCAATCCTCCCACCTCAGCCTCCTGAGTAGCTGAGAGCATAGGCGTGTATCACCAAGGCATCCATCACCACACTCAGCTAATTTTTAAATTTTTTTTGTAGAGATGGGGTCTTACTATATGTTACCCAGGCTGGGCTCAAACACCAGGCCTCAAGCAATCCTCCGGCCTCCCAAAGAACTGGGATATATTATAGGTGTGAGCTACCTTGCCCAGCCAAAAATGTGCTTTTTTAATATCCTGTGATAAAAACATATGTTTTGTAGGGAGAATCTGCCAGGTTCACGTAGCCGTTTACAATTATCCCTCTGTACACTGGCAGAATAAGGCAGACGTTTTCTCCCACCTTACTGCCACCAGGGTGGCCAGCCTTGTCCTTGCATGAAGTGACCCAGCAGCTGCTCTGACAGCTCTGCTGCCCTGGAGAGAGGGGGCCTCACCTCAGCAGAGCTGCCTCGCCCTGGAGGTAGGTGTGGTGCAGGTCAGGGGAGAGGCCCACATGTACACTATATGGAAATTCAATGTAAGTGTCTTCCCCCTGCCCCGTATCTTCTCAGGCATACTGAATTTTTCTCTTTATATTAATATTGTTATTAGATCAAAATCATGACCCCTCTGTGGAACCCTTGGCCTGCAGTTCAAGGTTGCTGTCAGTTTCTGTGTTCTTCTATCAGCTCTCCCAAGATGACATCATCATTAGCCTTGTGCTTCTAACCCCCCCCACCTGAGCATACTGGGCACTTCTTTCCCCTCTTTTCTGTACTTCTTGTCACAGTGGCCCACACCTATAATCCTAGCACTTTGGAGGCCGAGGTGGGCAGCTCACCTGAGGTTAGGAGTTTGAGACCAGCCTAGCCAACATGGTGAAACCCTGCCTCTTAAAAAAAAAAAAACAGCCAGGCATGATGGCATGAACCTGTAGCTACTTGGGAGGCTGAGGCAGGAGAATCTCTTGAACCCAGGTGGCTGGAAGTTTCAGTGAGCCGAGATCATGCCATTGCACTCCAGCCTGGGTAACAGAGCTAGACTCTGTCTCAAAGAAAAAAAAAATCTTGCCTGGTCTTCTGGTATTTAAGGTCAAAATCAATGCAAATGTCCCCAGTTTTACTTGAAAACAATTTAATTATATATCATGTAACCTTTTCAGTAAAAGCCTCTCTTCCTTCCTCACTGCTATCTGTCCTTTTTGCAGAAGAGGTCAAGAAACTGTGTGCAACACAGTTCAACAACATCTTCTTCTTGGATTGACTGATAATGGCTCATCGAAAGCATATTGTAAACTCAGCAAACATTGTGTTTACCATTGCTAGTTACTTGTCATATGACTGATTGCGTTGATCACAAGAGTAAAGCAATACTTGCTTTGAAGAATCCAATTTCTACTCGGTCTGCTAATCTGAGGTTTTTAGATTTTAAATATTTATGTGGAATTCATTAAAGGTAGTTGACTATATCTCTATCATTCCATTCTTTGACATTATGTGAATATTTTACTGGAAAATAAGACTAATAAATTGTTAAAGTTTTTAAAATTCTGGTTTCCTTTTGCGTCTCTTTTCTGTTGCCTATTTGGAGATTACACTGGCCAGCAGGTCCTTGACCCAGACTGGAACACAATGACTCACTGCAGCCTCAACCTCCTGGGCTCAAGCAATCCTCCCACCTCAGCCTCCCAAGAAGCTAGGACCACAGGTAGACACCGCCACTCTCAGCTAATTTTTTAATTTTATAGAGACAGGGTCTCACTACGTTGCCCAGGCTGGTCTCAAACTCCCATGAATTCAGCCATATAGGAAAACTGAGATGCAGTGGGCCAAGGAGGCATTTTAAAACACTACAGCGAGTACAATGCTAAGAACTGTAATGCTCAGGAAATCTTACAGCACCTGCTGTCCTAAGGCTCTGTGCGTGTCGTTGTGGCTCACTACTTCTTCTTCTTCTTGCTGGCGGTGGTCTTGGCAGATGGAGACACAGTCACATCCTCCTTGGGAGGGCCCAGGATGAGGTGAGAGGACGACACGTCCGCCGGCTCCTTGATCACTGTGATGTCAACCTCATAGTCTTGTCTCTTGGCCTCTTCCTCTCTCAAGATAAAGCTATTCAGCCTGAAAGCAAACATGAGAAGGTAGTTCCCCCCCGCCCTCCCCCCGTCAAAATTGTAAAACCAGTTTTATGCTATTTACAGTATACAGCCCTTCATACCTGCATTTCACAATGTATATAAGAAAACTACAAAACATTTTTTGAGATGAGTTTCATTCTTGTTGCCCAGGCTGGAGTGCAGTGGTGCCATCTCGGCTCACTGCAACCTCTGCCTCCTCGGTTCAAGTGATTCTCCTCCCTCAGCCTCCCGAATATCTGGGATTATAGGCTTCTGCCACCACGGCTGGCTAATTTTTCCATCCCGTCCCCTGGCTGCCATCATCTCTTCATACAAAAAGTCAGGCCAGGCATGGTGGCTCAAGCCTATAATCCCAGCACTTTGGGAGGCCTGGGCGGGCAGGGGAGGGGGGCGGGGGGGTAGATCACTTGAGTCAGGAGTTTGAGACCAGCCTGGCCAATATGATGAAACCCCATCTCTACCAAAAATAGAAAAATTAGATTGGCACAGTGCAGGCACCTGTAGTCCCAGCTAATTGGGAGGCTGAGGCCGGGGAATCACTTGAACCCGGGAGGCGGAGGCTGCAGTGAGCCGAGGTAACACCACTGCACTCCAGCCTGGGCCACAGAGCAAGATTACGTCTCAAAAAAAAAAAAAAAAAGACAGTCATTACCTCAGAGAGTCCACAGGTCTTAGAAGCTCTTGGGTCAAGAACTAGAAAATGGCTGGGTGTGGTGCCTCACCCCTGTAATCCCAGCACGTTGGGAGGCCAAGGCAGGCAGATCACTTGAGTCAGTTCAAGAGCAGCCTGGCCAACATGGTGAAACCCTATCTCTACTAAAAATACAAAAATTATCTGGGCATGGTGGCGCATGCCTGTAATCCCCGCTACTCAGGAGGCTGAGGCAGGAAAATCGCTTCAACCCGGGAGGCAGAGGTTGCAGTGAGCTGAGATCATGCCACTGCACTCCAGCCTGGGCAACAGTGAGACCCTGTCTTTTAAAAAAAAAAAAAAAAAAAAAAAAAAAAAACTAGAAACCAAGAGCAAATATTAGAACGAAAAATGCTCCTATTGCCCCATTACTTAGGAAGTTACAAAGGCTTCAGAAGCTCTGCCAGAAGCCAGGAACAAAGATGAAATACTCATTGCTTTTTATGGCAAAGATGCCCTTAGAAGGAAAGCACTCGGTCCTGATGTATTCTGGCAGCTGTGGAAGATGGAAAAGAGAGACAGCAACTCATGAAGGAGAGGCGGGACCTCATCAAGTTACCTTGCTTCCAGTTCGTCGTCCTCCTCCTTCCGTTGCTGGGCCTGTGCCGCGCTCTGTAATCTGTTCTCCCTCATTTTCTCCTTGATAGCGTCTTCACGTTTATACGCATGAAAGAGCGTGTTCACGAAAAAGACGTACATATTATTGACCCACATGTTGAACTCTTCCTTTTGATTATCCTTGGGTCTTTCATATTTCTCTGGAATAGAGTTTCATGAAGCTGAACATGAATACAATCCTGCTGTAAATTGGGACTCTGCATGCTCTTCTGCATTCTGTCCCTCACTCTGGTGGGCCCCCTTCTCGGCAAGACGAGGGGAGAGGAATGAGAATGCTGTTTCCATGACTACCTGAAACAAGCAGGGGCTCAGTAGACCCTGGCTGGGATTGTCAACCTTCCCTTTGAGTTTCCTGCTACCTCTTTTTTTTTTTTTTTTTGAGACAGTCTCTCTCTGTCACCCAGGCTGGAATGCAGTGGCGTGATCTTGCCTCTCTGCAACCTCCACCTTCTGGGTTCAAGCGATTCTCATGCCTCAGCCTCCCGAGTAGCTGGCACTACAAGCGTGCACCATCACACTATGCTAATTTTTGTATTTTTAGTAGAGATGGGGTTTCACCATGTTGGCAGGCTGGTCTCGAACTCCTAACCTCAGGTAATCCACCCACCTTGGCCTTCCAAAGTGCTGGGATTACAGGCATGAGCCACTGCATGCAGCCATCTTTTTTTCCCCCCTAAATATCTTAAGAATTTGAGCTTTCTGAAATGTTAATTTACCATGTTTCAAGGGGAAAAAAAAACCTGGTTCTTGCTTACCTTTTTTTTTTTTTTTTTTTTTGGAGACAGAGTCTTGCTCTATCACCCAGGCCGGAGTGCAGTGACATGATCATGGCTCACTGAAGCCTCGAGGAACTCCTGGGCTCAAGTGATCCTCCATCAGGATCGCTGGAGCCCCAGAGTTCAAGACCAGCCTGGACAACATAGCAAGACTCTCCCTCTAAGAAAATCAAAATGAAAAAAAGAAGTTTGTAAAATTGTATAGACATTACACAATTCATAAGCAACAGTTTGTAAATATTAAAGTTCTATAATTAAAATACTCACCGCTCTGAGATGAAAAAAAGGTGATCCCTTTTCCAGAAGATTTAAAATTCATTTTGGAAATTCTTTCATCACTTAGAGACTTCTTCATCTTGGGCTTTTACCGTTTAAAAAAAAATCATAAAGCAAAATATTACTTTTACATCTTCATGGGCTAAAACTACAATAAATTAGAAAATTATTTTCTAATTTAGAAAGGCTGTTCTTGAGCTAATTGACTTCTTTTTTGCCTTTTTTTTTTTTTTTGACACAGAGTCTCGCTCTGTCACCCAGGCGAGAGTATAGCGGTACGATCTCAGCTCACTGCAACCTCTGCCTCCCAGGTCCAAGCAATCCTCTGCCTCAGCCTTCCAAGTAGCTGAGATTACAGGCTATACAACTTTGTGTATTTTTAGTAGAGATGGGTTTCACCATCTTGACCAGGCTGGTCTTGAACTCCTGACCTCATGATCCACCCACCTCGGCCTCCCAAAATGCTGGGATTACAGGTGTGAGCCACCCTTTTTTTTTTTTTTTTGAGACGCAGAATCGCTCTATCGCCAGGCTGGAGTGCAGTAACATAATCTCTGCTCACTGCAGCCTCCGCCTCCCAGGTTCCAGCAATTCTCCTGCCTCAGCCTCCTGGGTAGCTGGGATTACAGACAATTGCCACCATGCCCAGCTAATTTTATATTTTTAGTAGAGACCGAGTTTCTCCATGTTGGGCAGGCTGGTCTTGAACTCCTGACTGCAGGTGATCCACCCACCTTGGCCTCCCAAAATGCTGGGATTACAGGCGTGAGCCAACACCTGGCCAATTTGATTCTGAATAAGATATTGATATTTATACTATTAAGGAAATGAAAAACAAAATTACTGTATTTACTGAAAGGCTCTCAAAAAAAATTTAAAGACTTGAAAATATCCCCCCGGTCTGTTGGGAAAGTATTTATTATATACAGTTAGCCATACTTAGATTCATATATTAATAGCTTTAATTATTATTATTATTTGAGACAGAGTCTCACTCTGTTGCCCAGGCTGGAGTGCACTGGCACAATCTCAGATCTCGGCTCACTGCAACCTCTGCCTCCCATGTTCAAGCGATTCTCCTGCCTCAGCCTCCCAGGTAGCTGAGATTATAGGCACCTGCCAACACACGTGGCTAATTTTTGTATTTTCTAGCAGAGACTGGGTTTTGCCATGTTGGCCAGGCTGGTCTCAAACTCCTGACCTCAAATGATCTGCCTGCCTCAGGCTCCCAAGGTGCTGGGATTACAGACATGAGCTCCTGGCTGAATGGGTTTAATTACCATGTGTATGTCCCAACTCCCACATTTCCACCTCCAACTGGAGTTTGCCCTTGAACTCCAGTCTTATCTCCAGCCGTGCCACTTGGGTCTCAATTCAGGCACCTTAAGCTTAACATGCCCAAAACCAAGCACTTAATTTTGCTCCCAAAACTCACCCCCCTGCCTCTGTCCTCCACCTCATAATAAATGGCAACTGTGTTCTGCCAATGCTCAGCCCAAAAATCTTAGACTCATCTTTGCCTTCTCTTGCCCTCTCAAACCCTGCACCCTTCAAAACACCTCAGATCTCAGGTCCCAGTCACCACCACCTCCCACCAGGACGGTTCCAAGAGTCCCTCACTGGTTTGTCCAGTGAAGCCACAGAGCTTCCTGACGCCTCTGCTCAGACGGTATCCCATGTCATCCCATCTCACCCAGAATAAACTCCAGGGCCTCTCCCTGGCCAGATGTGCTTCCAGTCACTCAGACCTTGTAAGTGGGAATAAGTGTAGCTTGTGGTAACAGGTGCAAATTCTGCCTGGGTACAAACCCCCAGCTGCACTACTTACTGGTTATGTGACTGTGGGCAAGTTACTGAACCTTTCTGGGCCTAGGTTCCCTCCTAGAGAAAAATGCAGTAACTGAAGGTCATCGGGGCACTAGTCCCTGGGGACTGCTTGGTGCCTGGGAAACACCCATAAATGCTATGGCTGCTGCTCACTTGCTGCTGTCTCCCCTCCTCCCTGGAACGTAAAGTCCACGAGAGCATGGGCTTTTTATTCACCGCTAGG